CTGCTAAACTTGAAGAGCAAAAGCAGAAATTACAAAACCACATTGAAGAGGCAGGTGCATGTGTAAAGAATGTCGAGGAAATGTTGAACAGAAATGAGATGGGAGAAATTTTGGAAATGAAGAAAGTAGTGTTAGAGCAGTTGCGTGAGTATTCTAGTTTACCCTCAAATCTGTCAATGAAAGACACTAAGACTATCCAAGACTTTGAAATGGAATTTCAAAAACAAGAAGTRAAGCAAGACCTTGGAGAAGTGTTAAWGTCTTCTGGATTTGCCTCAGCAGTTCCTTCACATTCTGGTGCCTCATCRTCTTGTAGAAGCTCCTCATTTTCCAACATGACAACTCTAGGAAGGAACTTTTCAAGTAAGGAGTTATTGAAAATCCCYCTAAGCATTAMMCCATACCGGTTGGCTGTTTGCCCTAGAACAGGAGATATAGCATTGTTGTGTGAGGATAACAATGAAGTTCAACTTTATGGCAATAAAGGAAGACATAAAAAAACTCTTTCCATCAAATCTGGACAACTCTCAGATGTTGGTTTTACCATTAATGATGAARTTGTTGTTGTGAATCGAGAACACAATCGTTTACTGTTGTATGAAAAGAATGGTCAATTCATTAACTTTGAATTTCACATCCCAAGAGATTGTTTGAAGTACACATATGTGTCAGTTGATTCAGATGGTCGACTGATTGTGACATCAACAAAAACCACTTATTACAACGAAGASTCAGGCACAGTTATTCCTTGTATCATTGTCTACAACAACGGGTGTCCAGAGTCATTTAAGATGTTTGGAAGAAGAGCCTTACTCAAGCCAGTCTCTCGTGCCATCTATCAAAATCGACAGTTTTACATTGCTGATAGGTGTGATGAGGAAACTATCATTAGATGCTTCTCCTTTCAAGGGGAACATTCCTTAAACATTGCAGTTCCTGGTTCATCTGTCTATTACTACTTGTCTATCTCATCCATGCCTTGCTGTGGCACWGTCTTTGTGATGACCTCAAGCTTTCAATTATTGGATAAGGATGAGCATTGGTATAGTTTTACATATAATGACTTGAGTGAAGAGAACTTTGTTCTTATCATTCAGGGTAATGAAGTTGTTGAAAGCAAAAATCAGAAAACWTCTTCTCTTGTGCAACATGCTGTGGTGATTGATCATGACTCTCAAGGGTCCATTACACAGGCAGAAATCTATGAAGAACTAGAGACATTTGCTATAGTTAAGTATTCTTAAGTAGTACAAAGAAAGTAAATATCTTGATGGGTAAAAATGGACCATGTACAACCATGTACAGATTTTGGAGATAACACAGACTGGTTCCTGCATGTTTCCATCCCTGCTAGAGGAGCCTTAATAGATTTAACTTTTAGTGCATTTTTTGAAGTGTTCCAGAACTAGATGTTTTGCCCTGCCTAAGCTACTGCACTTGATCCTCTTTCCTCATCAATATTGGCTGGATAACTTTCTGTCTGAGTAGTACTATATAGGAGAGCTGTCATGACTGTAAACAAATATATTATTTATTGCCATTATTATCATTATGATTTTAGCTTCATTTTAGTTATTGTTTTTCTTTCTTCAGTTTTTATGTTTTATTAGTAAGTGGATTGAATATTATAAAGTGATATTGTAATGTAACTAGTATTCTTCTTTCCTCGTTTTAAAGAGCCATTGAGCTATATGGACAAATATTGCTATATAAAATTATTATTATTATTGACATTTTAAAGAAGTTAAAATTTTATCAGAAACATATAGTAAAAACTATCCTAGTCTTGGTTATCAGCTGGCATGAAGGGAGTGTGTCAAATGCCAATKGCTGAAAACTGAGCCTACTGACCAACCACCGTACATTGAGATTGTCCTACATGTAAGTGCAAGAGATATATTGTGCCAAAAGAAAAACAAAATCTCCATCCCTGGGTATAAACAAGGTTTGTGCTACTCTTTGAAATCCTTGAGAAGCCCTAAAAAAAATAAATCATAAAAACATTTTTCCAGGAATAAAAAGATATATCTGTCTGTTATAATTAARGAGGGTCCTATCAAATATCACTGACTTTTATTTTAGGGGGCTTCCAAAAATAAAGATGACTTTGCTATAAAGTCACCTGCATCATCATGATCTCCAACATGGCAAATATGAAACTCCTTCACAATAATGACCAGCAATAATTGGTGAATTTCAAAGGTTATTATTTGACCAATAACTAGTTCGCACTTAACAATAGCTTATAAAAATTTTATCTAGTATTTCCTTCATAGCCTACGTAGCAGATGTTTCAAGCGGGAATCGAACCGCTTGGAACGTCTGCTACGGAGGCTATTTCCTTCAAATGTAGGCTAATTCYTGAAGAACCGAGGAGAACTGAGCCGAGTAGATTCTGTATCCATTCGTGATCCTGTCTGCGATCATTCATAGAAGTTCTCTTCGAAAATCACAGAAACACAATGGCTTATTCTCCAAACTCCAAGCAGATTCATATGGCGGTTGCAGATGACGAATTTTCATGTCCTTTGTGCTGTGAAGTGTTTGAAGATCCCAAGCTACTTCCCAACTGCGCTCATAGCTACTGCAAATCATGTCTTCATGAGCTGGTCCTTCGGAATAATTCGACTCGTGTTTCATGTCCAGTGTGTAGAAAGGTCTCGAATGTACCACTGAATGGTATTGACGGTTTTGCCACTAATACGCTTTTGGTGAGACTCATTGACAACATTCCAGGTCGAAAAGACAAAGAGATGGTTTCGAAAGCTTTAGCCCAGTGCAAGGACGAGATAGAGAAAAATAAAACTGCCCAGGCAGAAYTGGAGAGAAAACTTTCCAAAGTGAATCAAAAYAGAGAGAAAGGACTGATGCTGAAGAAGGAGATCTCAGAACATGCTCAAAATGCCATAGACTYAATCAGRCAATGGGAACAAAAGCTTTGCAGTAAAGTAGATGCACACCTTAAAGAAAACTGTGGTTTGGAGTTTTCTGCTAAACTTGAAGAGCAAAAGCAGAAATTGCAAAACCACATTGAAGAGTCAGGTGCCTGTTTTAAGAATGTTGAGGAAATGTTGAACAGAAATGAGATGGAAGAAATTTTGGAAATGAAGAAAGTAGTGTTAGAGCAGTTGCGTGAGTATTCTAGTTTACCCTCATATCTGTCAATGGAAGGCACTAAGACTATCCAAGACTTTGAAATGAAATTTCAAAAACATGAAGTGAAGCAAGACCTTGGAGAAGTGTTGCAGCCCTCTCAGAAGACATTACCAGCCAGGACTGAATGTTGTGGGTTTGCCTCAGCTGTTCCTTGTCTTCCTTCACATCTTGGTGCCTCATCTTATTTGAGATCAGAATCTAGCACATCTTCCTATGAGGACACTTCAGTTTGGCAGTCAAGGCAAAAACTGTTAGAAGTTCCTCTAAAATTTGAACCATATCGATTGGCTGTTTGTGCGAGAACTGGTGATATTGCACTACTTTGGGAAGAAAAAATGCAAGTTCACCTTTATAGTAGTGATGGAAGACACAAAAACACTATTACTATCAAATATGGAGATCTTTGGGATGTTGGTTTTACCATTGACAATGAAATTGTGGTTGTCAACCGACAACACAATCGTTTGCTGTTGTATGAAAAAGAAGGCCAATTTATTAACTTTGAAGTTGAAATCCCACGAGATTGTTTGAAGTACACATATGTGTCCATTGATTCAGAGGGCCGCCTGATTGTGACTTCTACAAGAAATGATGATGAAGAAGATGAAAACATTATTCCTTGCATCATTGTCTACAAAAACGGTTGTTCAGATTCGTTTAAGATGTTTGGAAGACGATCCCTAGTCAGGCCAGTCTCTCGAGCCATTTATCAAAATGGGAAATTTTACATTGCTGATGAATGCGACCCTGAATTTGTCGTCCGATGCTTCAATTTTCAAGGGAAACATTGCTTAAACATTACGATGGAAGGAAACGGTGATTGGTACTATTCTATCTCATCAGTAGAATGTAATGGCAAAGTGTTTGTGATGAGAACATGCCTCAATGAAACCCTTGTTACCATCATTCAGGGTGATGAAGTTGTTGAATTTATCAATCAAAAACAGCACAATTGTTCTAATGTGACAGAAGCTGTGGTGATTCRTGACTCACCTGGATCAATTACACAGGCAGAAATCTATGAAGATCAAAAGAAATTTGCTATAGTCAAGTATTTTTGAGTAAAGGATTTTGGAGGAAAAATKACTAAATGAAWAGCAATTAACAYTAACAGGGTAATGGACTCCACCTTACCATCCAC